TTAATTCCTTTGGTGTTGAGGCATTGAAGTTTTCCATCAATCTTAGAGATAAGTCCCTTGCCGGATATGTAATTATCAGCAAATATGAATTTGTTGCTGTCATTTTTGTCATGTGCTTTTTCATTATATTGATTTCTTTGTTTCATATAATTTTCTATGCTGAGCTCGTTTTGTTTATGAGTGATGTTATCACTTCCTTCATTGCTATTTTAGTATTTGCTGAATGCTGGTCCTCTTTTTTATTTTGATGTGAATGAAGGTTTATCATTTTTCTTTGAGATTGCCCTGTGATTTATAGTTTTCTTCCCAAGTGTAGAACAGTCTGTTCTGTCTTATAGTTGTCTTGACTTCCCTACCATCTAGAAGTTCTGTAACAACATAGATTTTTTTCCCTCTTTTTGGTTTGTAGTTGTCCTCATTTGTCGGTTGGTGTCTCTGGTGTCCTGTTTACAATCTTGTAGGCTTATTTACTTTGGATACGTTGATAGCTGGGTTGGTTTCTGGGTTATATCATCATGTGTGTTAATGGTCAGTTGTTGTTTTTGGCTGTTGTTGCTTCTCTGTCCAAAGGGCTCCCTTTAGCATTTCTTGTAAGGTTGGTGTGGTTTTAACAGATTCTCTTAATTTCTGCTTATCTGGAAATGTCCTAATTTCTCCATCATATTTGAAGGACAATTTTGCTGGGTACATAATTCTTGGTTGGAAATTTTTCTCTTTAAGTGTTTTCTATATACCATCCCACTGTTCTTCTCATCTGCATGGTTTCTGTCAAAAAATCTGAGCTTAGTCTTATTGGTTGCCCCTTGTAGGTAACTTTTCATTTTTCCCATGCTGCTCTCATTATTCTTTCTTTGTCTTTGGTTTTGGTGAATTTGATGATGATGTGTCTTGGTGTTTTTCTTTTGGGGTCTATCCTGTTTGGGGTTTGTTGGACTTCCTGAATGGATATATTCTCATCTTTCATCATATCAGGGAAGTTCTCCTTTAATAAATCTTTGACAATTTTCTCACTGGTTTCATTTTTCTCTTCCTTTTCTGGAATTGCAATGACACGTAGTTTATTCCTTTTGATGGTATCCCACATGAACCTTAAGCTTTCTTCATTTGTTTTGATTTTTTTTTTGTTTGATCCCTTTCCAAAGAGGTATTCAGGTATTTGTCTTCAATCTCATTAATTCTCTCTTCCATTGCATCAGTTCTACTCCTTGTCCTTTCAATGTATTATCTATTTCTGACAATTTAGTATTAATCTTCTGGATTTTAATCTGTAGATTTAGAATCATTTCTAATTTTTCATTTATTTTGTCATTTTGTCCTTGTATTTTCTTCCAAAATTCTTCTAGGGTTTTGTCTGTGTTTTCCTTGGTCTGTGTCTCAGTCCTTTGAAGATACCTAAATATAATTCTTTTGAATGCCTTATCAGGGAGCTCCAATGCTGCATCTTCCTCTGGGATGTGTTTTAGGTCTGTATCCTGGTCCCTTGTTTCTCCTGCTTTATCTTGCTTCTTTGTGTGGACTGTGATGCTCTGTTGTCTCAAAGGCATTGGGACATTTTTGTGTTTATATTTAATTGGTGATTATATGTTGGAGTGACTTGCCCACAATTTTCATTTTCTTTGTTTTGTGTGTGATCTATGCAGGCAGGGTACTATGCTGTGCTCCTCTAGTCACTAGTTGACAGCACTTATACACTCACCACCTGTCTCCTTTCCTTTGTCAGCCTCTCATATGTCCTTGCCGACCCTGGCAAACAGGGCCTGTTCTTAGGTCCCTGGAATCCGAATGAGAACGCTATCACTTTAAATATCCAAAATGGCCACTGCTTGTAAACATTCAAAATGGCTGCACCTTTGTCACTTTAAATATCTAAAATGGCTGCCACATGTAAACCATGAAAATGGTTGCGCCCTCCGGACAGCAGAAAGTCCACAGCTCAGGTTGTCTTCCTCCTTACAGTTTCCCTCCCTAGTCATAGGCCACCAGAGCAGTTGTCCCTACAGCCCTTGGTGACCGGGACTGATCTTTAGTCAATTCTCAGGTCCCAACACCACTTGGAAATATTCAGGCTGTAGGTCTCGTCAGAGTAACTAACATTCCGTAGCTCTGACAGTCTGCAGCTCTGCCTGTCTCTGTACTCACTGTTTTTGTTCAGGTTTTTCCACTAGTTGGTGGCTAGTCCACTTCTGTATAGCTCCTTTCAAAACTCAGGGTTCCAGGATTTTCTTCTGTATCTCTGTCAATTGGTTTTTCTTTTCTTTGTTGAAGAGATTCTTTGTCACTTGTCTGCCTATTCCTCCATCTTACCGGAAGTGATGTTACAAGGTATTTTTATACTATTGGTTTATTCTTGAGGTGACATACCTTGTTTGCTTATTGTATTATTAGCACTCTAAGCATAACCATAACAAATAAAATCATAATAACAATATTTAACTCATTTGTATGATGTAAATCATGTATAAAGTCATCTGTATCCCTGCTTCCTGTCACATCAACTGCTTTAGTTATTTTCATATTCTCTTTCTGTATAGTTATGGTAAGGATTTTAAAGTCTAATACTGCCTTTCAGTGTCTTAATATTTTGTTCTGTTTCCCATATTGTCAGAATATTTGCATTGTTACTTAAGACTCACCAAGTGTTCCGGTCCTGAAAGGGCCTCTGTTTAGTCATATGTTTATATGTAGATGCACATATTGGTTTAACATTTAGAATACATTTACATTTGTTGTTGTGTTTGAGTATATGTACAAGTAATGTATCTGCTGAATTCTAATGAGCTGAATGCAAAATTTCGTTGCTATGCTGGTTCTTCAGGTATGTTGAAACTACATGCTTTGAAGTTGGAAGTTTGTAAAAACCTAGCTATGTGTTGAAGCTTTATTTTTAATCAACCAAACATTTCTTGATCTTCTAGTGCTTTGAGCACTGCACAGGGAGAGTTAGAAACGCAAAAGTAATCAAGCATTTTTTCCTTTGACTATTATATAATTGCAGAGGTGAAAAGTATATGCATAAAGGCTGTGTAAAGCAGAAAAAAATAAGTATAAAATAATCACATATATTCTGTAAGTTTTCAGAGAATTTAATTTATTTTAAATAGAGCATTAATTTTTTTTTCCTGCAAATTTCTAATTTGGATTTTTAACAAAAAGATCAATTACTTATTTCTAGGAGTTAAGAGAAGTACTCAAAGAACATGAATGGATGTACACAGAAGCTTTAGAATCTTTAAAAGTGTTTGCAGAAGACCAAGGTGATTATCTATTCTATGTCTTTATATAAAATACACACTCCCCCTTATAGTCTATATTGTAGTATCTAAGAAAATAGCAAAATCTGTAATTAGAGAGTGAGATTGCAAAAAACATTGGAAATAATTATTTAAATTGGTTTTAAATGGCCAGTTTCCAAGTATTTTGACCTATTCCTTAAGGTGGTGGTGGTGTTATGTGCCATCAAGTCGGACCCGATTCATAGTGACTCCTCCTTGGGTTTCTGAGGTGGTCTGTGTATGGAAGTAGATTGCCCAACCTTCCTTCCGAGGAGTGGATTCTTATGTTAGTACAAAGCAAAACAATGGATACCTTTTTCTGTTATGGCCCATTTTTCTTGGTAGTTAAGGCTACTTTTAAACTGCCATGTTTAATCAAGTATAAAATAATTTTTTACATTTTAATAGTTCTGTCAGGATGAATCTTAGAGTTGCTAGTGTCTGTTCACTGTAATGTATGTGTCTTAGCCTGCACTTCTATCAATATGAAAAGTATCAACATCAGAAACTTACAAGATGGGTATCAGTGGCATGGAAAAAAGCCCCTGAATCCATAGTGAAGTTAACTCTAGGAACTAAATAGTAGAGAAGAGAAGAACAGTTGAGTCACATATGTTTAGTGACACCCCTAAGCAGGAATCAGTGGACTGGCCTTTCATGATTGCAAAGCCAGCTCAAAAGTCCAGTGCAAAGACTTTTAGGTTTTTTTTTTAAATGAATTCTGTGAAGAAATGATGTAATCCCAAAGGTCTTGGTAGGACAGAGAATAATACTTAGTGCAAAAAAGAAAGACCCCACTATCAGCAATTCTGAGTGGATAAAAAAAAAAAAAAAAAAAAACCTGCTTCAGAAGAGAGATTAAGAATGTGAAGAAATCTGAGGAATACTTTGTCCAATTTATTTTGCTTATATTTCTTATGTATACATAAGAATAAGCCAAACCAAACCAAACTCACTGCCATCAAATCGATTCTGGCTCATAGTGAGTCCCATTTGGTTCCCCAGGCAGTAAATCTTTACTTTATGGCAGTAGATTGCCTGGTATTCCTTCCGCAGAGTTGGTGGATTTGAACTGCTAACCTTGTGGTTAGCAGTCAAATGCTGTAGGCACTATGCTACTGTAGCTCCTTATGCTTAAGAATAAGTAAATGATAATATATACCTAAGTCTAGAAGGTCTTTTATTAAGTGGGAAAAAAAAACAAACCCTAAATATTAAGAAAAATATTTTGTTACAGATTAATTAGTACTTGTTTTCTTACTGATACATAAAATAATAGTATGCCTTCCATCATGGGCATCTTAGAATTCAAAGAAATGTAGTCAGGTCGTGAAAGATTCATCAGTGATAAGTTTTTTGATATATATATTTAAATAATTTTTACAATAAAGATGAACTTTCAAGATATTGGAAGCAGTGATGGAAAAAATAATTATACCATGGATAGTTGAAATGCAGAAACAGTTTTCACTAGCAAGCTTTGTAGTAGGGTGAGCATTATTTTGCTATACCCATCAGTTTTGTCTTGAGGGGTGGAGCTGCTAAGTAGCATCTGGGGCAACTCATGATATGCAGCAGCTACCATTTATGTTCTCAGGGCCTTTATTAGAAAATGGAAATTTATATTTAATTCATCTTAAAAAGCAAGTTATATCACCTGCTTTTGAAATTATTTCTGTTTTAAAACTCCAAATTCTACTTCAGTATTTCTTTTTAAAGTGTATCAAGATTTAACAATTAAATTGTAACTATTTTTCTGTATTCAGAAGGAAAATGTAAATGTTTAGATATTTTTCTTAATCTTATTTGAAATCTTACATCTTTATATTGAATTTATATATTTCTAATAAAGTTATTTTTTTGTCTTTCTTTGTACACAGATATACACTATGCTTCACAAAGTGAGGTTCCAAATGGAAAAGAAGTTTCCTCAAGGAATCAAAACTATCCTAAAAATGCAGCTAAAACAAAACTGAAGCAGAAATTTTCCATGAAACCACAAAATGGTTTTAACAAGAAACGTAAAAAAAATGTTTTTAATCCTAAGAGAGTTATTGAAGACTCCGAATATGATTCAGGTTCTGATGTCGGTAGCTCACTTGATGAGGACTATAGTAGTGGTGAAGAAGTGATGGAGGATGGCTATAAAGGTAAAATTCTTCACTTCCTTCAGGATGCTTCAATTGGTGAACTTACTTTGATTCCTCAGTGCTCTCAGAAAAAGGCTCAGAAGATAACAGAACTCCGGCCCTTTAACAGTTGGGAAGCTCTGGTAAGGCTACATTCTTTTTTTTCCCCCTGTATGTCTGTGTGTTTAATTCACAGTACCGTTTATAGTCAAGGTATCTTCAGCCTAGGGAAGCATAGATGGGTGGCCGTATCCTGAGTAGAGTCAAACATTACTTTCATTGTAAGCCAATAGTATTTCAAATAGTGTCATATGACCTAATTTTGAATGAATTAAGGGGTGATTTTCCTGAAAAAACCCAAGCTGATTGGCTGGGAATACTGTCACTCATCTTTTGCACAGAAACTTGGTTCATTTCACTGCAGAAAAGAAATTAGAGCTTACATTTAGGAAGGAATTGTTTGCTAGCCCGTTCTGATCTGTTACTGCTGAGACACCATGCAGAAAGCAAGAATGTGGCAGAAATTTCACTACAACTACTTGAAGAGCAATAGCCACGTCCAGGGGAGCCCCATGATTCAAGATGCCAGCCTCAGTTTTTATGCTTCACCACAAAAGAAGCAATTGTTTATTTTCTTTTTCTTTTAAAAGTGACAGCTCAATCTCTAACACGTTTTTCTTGGTTAAACAACGCGGCCATTTTATGGAGTGTAACAGGCTGCAACATTTTTAATTGGAAAGCTAGAAAAGTGTGTGAAAGCCTAGAAACCAGGCATTAGGTGAAGGGAAGACATAAGTACTGGTAAGTACAATTTGCATGATCATTTTCTGCCACTTGATTTCCTATAAACAAGTGTTATCCAAGCTGCCTGTATTCTGTTTTATAAACTTCAGTAATCATCCAGTATTTATAAAAAGAAATATAAGAACTCTTGTATTTTAAATTTTGCTTTGACTTGTAAGACTATGCGCTTCTATGAAAGCATGTCTTGTATATAGGCCCTGCTGTGAAAGCAATGTGGATGTTTTTTTTTTATAGCTGTTGAAGGTGAAGTGACTCTTTGTGCTTTATAAAATGTTTAGGGAGTTTCATTCTCTACATTGGGAAACTGAGTTGCTTTTGTAGTTAATTTTATACTTGTGTCAAATCTATATGTGCTTTAGTCCCCTTGATAAGTGTCTTGCAATGGCAGTAGGGCAAGGTCCCTGAATAATGGTTGTAAAAAGCATTCTTAAATTAAAATATTTAAAAATATTGAAACAACATTACTGGTATTTTGTAGCTTGGAAAAAAAAATCATTCGTTTTGCCTGAAGGCTTTGCTTTTCCAGAGAACATCTGTCAAAGCAGATCTTTTCAAAACTCGTTTGGCTTTGCCTGTGTGATTTATTTGTTAAAGTATTTGCTGAAGGGCTTTCTTGTTCTTCTTTTCTTCTTTTTTTCAACCTTTAATGGTCTCCTATGTTATTGCAAGGTTGAACTGCTCAGGCTTGTTGAGGTTCTAATTTATTTAACAAGGAATGCAATTATCTCCACCAGTGTATTTAGTTACTGTAACTACGTGCCCAAATATATTATAGTAAAAAATAAATTATACAATTTTACCACAGGTGTATGTGCCAGATGCTATTAAAAATATTCAGCAGCTTAACATGTGGAAAGCATATTTCCCCTACTAATTAATTGGCATAGTTTAAATTAGTCTTGACATGAATTTATAGATTATGTATTACCTACTTAAACCTCCTATAGTGTCTTGCCCCCTATTCAAAAGTTGAACACAAAGACTATACCTCTAGCCATCCATCTAAACGTTGACTCTCTAGTTTAATACAGTAGAAAAGTATCTTACTTGTAAACTTACTGCTTGAGTTCAGTGAAAACAGTGCTTTGCTGTCGTGAGCAATAGGTAAATGATGAGTTTTTGTAAATAAACCACTAAAATTAACAAGTAAATTGTATAGGAGGTTTGAATTTTAATTTGCTTAAAACTTTTAATATCTCCTTTCCATAACTGGAGTTTTAATTTGACTGATATTTAGAGCAGTGTAATAATACTAATAAAATCATCAAAGGAAAAGTCAGTATTACATATATTTTTATAAAGAGCTATATAATTTAATCCTTCCTTATTAGTCAGAGATTTGATATGTACCTCCAAAGAACTTTTAAAAGAAACAAAAATTGAAAACATTTATTTTTGTTTTCATAGCTGCTGTATTTTAAAATCCTTCTGAAAATTAGTTGAGACTAAATCACATCACTCAGTCATACTTTTAACATAAAGATCACAAGGCATTATGTATTAAGAATAATTTTCAAATATTTAGTAAACTTTTAAAGTTACTATTTAAGCTTAACTAATCTTAAGGATAGGAGCTCTGGTGGCGTAGTACCTAAGGCATGTGACTACAAACCAGAAGGCTGGTGGTTCAAACCCACCAGCCGCTCCTCAGGAGGAAGGTTGGGCAATCTACTTCCATAGTGATATTGCCTCGGAAACCCAAGGAGGTGTTTGCTGTGAGTTGGATCCGAGTCGACGGGAGTGAGTTTGGTTTGGTTTTTGGTAATCTTAAGGATAGGGGAAATTGGCAAAAATTTAAATTCATAAATCCTTGTCTCATTAAAAAATGCATACTAAGCTAATTAATCAAGTACACACATACGTTTTAATTAAGAGTTTTGTTAAAACTGAAGTTTTTTTTTAATCTGAGGTTATATGTAATTGTTAGTATTTCATGATCTTACTTTATTGTAAAAATACTTGAATGTAAAAATTATGTAAGCACAGTGCCTTTTAAGTAAGCCATTGATTGTAGATCATCAGTTTTTAAGATACTATAAGAATATCAGCTACTAAGAGTGATCTAATCATAATTTCTAAATCTAGAGAGTGCACACTTTATTGTGATGATTTTATTCTCAGAGAATAAAACTGAGGTGATCTCATAGATATTCTAGTCAACCTCAGCTTACATGAGGAAAACTTGATTGTTTTAAAAATTAGATACTGAAATATTAAGAGAGTGTTTATGTTTGCAGCTTTGTATCTTTTTTCTTGGAATCAAATTTAAATATTACTTACTAAATTTTCTTCATAATTTTTCCATTTTACTGATAGGTTTTCTGCTTAATAGCAGTACTGTACGTGTTCAATGGAAGTAAAGCATATTGTTAAATCAGGTAGACTTTGGAAATATAACAAGCCAAGAATGTCATTGGTTTTCAAACCTAGATTGTTAATATGTTATAATTAGAAATTTTGTTGCAAATTTCACATATTTGAAGGCATCAGTTCACAAACCACTTACTGAAATTTTGTCTAAACTTGTGCAAAGTAAGGTGGAGGTAGTATTATATCTATGATAATCTCCTTGTACTGTTTCTTTACACTTTAATCAAAATAGTGTGTTTATACTGAGCAATGCAAGGTTCATGAATGAACTCAATTTATGAATGAAAACAACACTGCCATCGAATCAATTCCAACTCATAGTGACCCTAAAGGGCAGAATAGACTGCCCATTAGGGTTTTAAGGCTATAAATCGTTATGGAAGCAGACTGCCTCATCTTTCTCCTATGGAGTTTGAACTGCCTACCTATTAGTAGCTAGATGCTTTAACCACTATGCCACTAGAGTTCCTTCAATTTATGAATAGCTGAACCTGAAAATTTTTCATATATGCATCTACCACTTTAATATTTAGATCAGTGTAAATGCAATTTTTCTTTCCTGGAAAATAACTGCCCTATTACCATCAAATCTCTTCCTACTTAGTTACCCAGTATGATGAAGTAGAACAGCCCCATAGGGTTTCCAAGGCTGTAATCTTTACAGAAGCTGATCGCTACAGCTTTTTCCAATGCTACAGATTGTAGTTAGCAGCTGAGCACTTAACCACTGTGCCACCAGGGTTTAGTTCATATCAGAAACCTTGTGTTCCTCATTGTGCTATTCCCATCTACTGTAATTTAGACCACCAATTTTTATTTATTTTTATTTTTATTTTTATTTTTTTGCTTTTTGCTTCACTTGGTATTTACTGTATAATGTCTTATCTAAATTTGTCATTTAAAGTATTGTATTGCCTGGCTCTTCTTTTCCAGTAAGGTGACTTTAGTAAATTTGTAAGCTTACTGTATTTAGGCTTTGTTCTGATTTGTATAAGTGTGAGAAACATTTATTTTAAAAATTATAAATGTTTTCTGACCAGCACAGCCTCCAGGCTACCAGCCTGCCAGAATGCTACCCGGTATTTAAGGAGGCCTGGTGGTACAGTGGTTATATACTTGGCTGCTAACTAAAAGGTAGGTGATTTAAATCCCACTGGTGGCTCTGAGGAAGGAAAGACCTGGCGATCTGCTCCCATAAACAGCACAGCCTGGGAAATCCTATGAGGTAGTTTTACTTTGTCCTGTGGGGCCATTGTGAATCAGAATTGACTTGATGGCGCACAGCAACAGCAAGCCAGATATTTACAGCAGTGAGTAAGATCAGAACTCTGTCCTCAAGAATGCTACTTGTTAGGTGAAGAGTAAATAATTTGAGAATTTATAGGTTTTTTTTAGATTTTCCCTTTCCTCTATGAATTCAAAAATATTTGTATAGTAAGAGTGACACGGTGTGGCAAAAGAGAGGTACTTCAGTTGCTGACTCTATTTAAAAAATTCCCTAGGGTGATACTGCCATTTCTGATTGAACAGAGAGTTATCAGTGCCATATTGAGGTTCTTTTTGTCATGTGATTATCCAGCAAGTAGCAATTATATTTCTTCCTTTTCTACTGCTCCCCCAAAAAAATAGCTTCGTCATTTTTTAGAAAACAATTTGTTTTCTTTGTCTAAAATTTAAGCAGGGCAGGAACAAGGAATGTGAAGATCACCCAAATTCTACCAAGATAGTCATTGCTTAAGACTCTTTTGAATACCTCTCTGTTCATACGTAGATTTGTATATTTCATTTTATGTAAACCAGAAACCAAACTCAATGCCGTCAAGTCAGATCTGAGTCATAGCAACCCCTCCTTGGGTTTCTGAGTCAGTATCACTACAGAAGTAGATTGCTCCATCTTCCTTCTGAGGAGTGCTTGGTGGGCTTGAACCGCCAGCCTTCTGGTGAGCAGTCAAATGCCTTAGGCACTACG